ACTGATTTGCGGCTAACATGCAGCTAAACTGTTGATGTAGGCTTCGAGCGTCAGACTGAGATCCTGCCAGCTGATGACTAAAGGTAGTTACTGCACTACTGCTGGGAGGGTTATTGGAAGTTGAAACAGAACTTGAAGGAGATGGGGAGGAGGACGACGGACCAGGGGAGGGCTGAGGTACTGACAGACTAGGATGCAACGGGGGTGGTGGAACGGATGAAACCAGTCCTCCAATTGCCCCTGCATTTCCTCCACTTCCACTACTGCTGGCAAAATGATCAAATCGCCCTACTCCTGAATGTAACTGCTCTTGTGAAAGGGTTGTCTCAGTTGGGTGGAATGAGCGCAAAAACTGGGGGTATCCACTCACATGACTTCCACCACTGCTACTGCTTCCAGACATTTTGCTGGATTTCCTCAAACTTTGAGATGATGAAGAGAGGGATTGTTGTTGCAGAGGTGGGGGAGGTGCACTCATTTTTGCAAAAATTGATGCAGAATCTGTAAAGGCACTGCCTCTAGATGCTTGTAGTGGGCCTAAGCCAAGTCCAGACAAAATTGACCCAGATGTCTCACCTTGCTGCTGCTGTAACTGGTGTTGGTGAAGCTGCACTTGCTGTTGGTGTTGAAGTTGTCGCTCTAATCCAAGACCTTTGAATTGATGGGATTGGTGTCCACTCAGCATCTCTATGATGTCCACATTGTATTTTCCAAACTGGAACATCTCCCAGTTACTGAAACATGGCGCGCAGTGGCAACACCTTTTGCCTTTTGAGCAGCAACAATATTTCTATGATGCTTTTCTACTAAGTTGTAGTCAGAAAAAGCTATTTCAAAAACAGTGCTACCTCACATTTTCCTTATGCTACTGGTGTTGTTTCATTTAAAGTGGGCAGCCACATACTCTTCAGGCAAGTAGTTGACGAGGACATTTTATATTGACTGTAACATGAATTTGTAGTCTCTGCAAAAAAGCCGTTTTTCAATGGGATTTGTCACTATAGTGATAGTTCAACTTTGATGTCAGTATTTCAGTCTGAATGTTCCATAAGAGTGCAAAGACATATGGACTGGTAAAAGAATGCCACAACTGCACGAGATGCAATTATGTTTTCACATTTTGGGAAGTGCACTATAAGTGCTTACTGTTGTCCGAGTTCATTGAAAAAATGTCACTTCCTTGGTTACATTTTTTAGTTCATGACCATCCTACAGTAGGATGGATCCCTCCAAATCCCATGGGTTGGCTTCATTACATTCAATATCTATTAATTCTTAATCCACTCTGACAAAAGTGGCTTACATCTCTGTTTCCAAGTTTCAATTAATTTATTTTTCTTTTTTTCCATAGCTGGAAGCAAAATCCTCTAATATCATTCTCGGGGGCTGTGATGTTGTGATGCCACTCTTCTCACTGCGAGAGAAAAAAAAAAGAGGAACATGTTAAATGATTGAATTTATACAAACACAATTCTTTTAAAAAAAACATAAACCATCAAAACCCCAAAGACAACAAAATAATTTGATTTAAAGAAAGAAAAAGAAACACAACAACAACAGACAGACTGTTTATTACCGCAAGCATTTTAATGTTTGTTTATTTTAATACATAGAAAATGTAACTTATGTGTGTGAATAATTATGTGAGTATGGACACATCTCCGAAAAAGTTCCAAGTGCTTCAAACGAACATCTTAAAAGGCATTACTTGAACATTTCATGGCATTTCCATGATTTCCTTTTTGCTCAGTTGTATTCTTAAATAGCGAAATGAAATAACTTACAATAACAAAAACAATAACAAAAACTGAGTATCTGTTATTTAGTGATCAATAGATCTTAAAATATAAAATTATAACATTATTATTGTAACAATTCACTCTGAAATACTACATCGTGTTTAATAAATGTAAAACATTGGTTCATCTTATCTATCAGCATCATCATCTAAATTACAGAAATTAACAGACACATTCAACTGATATGTCGCTTATGCATTTAACGAATGTCATTTTACAATCACAACACGATACTAAACAAAAGTAGTGTGAGATACGTTCTCGGACGATAAGCGGAATGTAAACAGTAAGATAACACACATTTTCAAATATTTACACAATTTTCTTATATTTAAACCTCGCGAGTGTTTTCTATCACTTTGTCTTACATTCTGAGCAGTTGGCATTGTGCTGAAAAGATGCTGAGTGCGGTGTGAATCATCAGGGCTAGAGGTGAATTTCATGTAATTATTACATCTTCCGATTGCATCGCGTATCGCTACAGAAAAGAAAATGTCCATTTCGACAGACTCCGGGGAGTAATGGAAAAATCTCCCCAGTCTGCGATGGGGAAAATGCACTTCGATTTTCAATAGTGCTTTAAAAATGCTCTGCAAAGTATTAATGGTCGCGAAATCTTCTAAGCGTTGGGGCTATGTGTAACATGTTAGCATGCAAAACAGCTGGCTAATACTACACATTCAGCAAAGGGACAGCTTAGCTTGCCGTCATGATGCGCGACCTAACAACAGCAAGCCAGATAATGCAGGAGCAAAACTCTTATTGTGCAAGTAATTGAATCATAATGAAATCACAATCGAGACAATAAAATAGGCCTTTTTACCTACGCGTCCATCTTTTAGCCTGGTCAAGATGAACAGGGCCTGCTATACTCTCTCCCACCCTGCCCCCCTCGTTCATGTACCCCAGCAGCTCTGCGCTGTTTTCCAGCGGTTAGCCTTCTAGCTACAGCTAGTTAGCAGACTCTTGTTTCCACTGCAACCGTGCTGCGATAGCATGAGACCGAATGTCTCTTATACTGTAGACCAGATACACCTATCGTACTTATATCCTGTGGAAAATGCATCAAACGGTATTACGACCGATGACTTTTTATTTTGCGTTTGCTTTTTTTTTTTGTCGGCTAAGATATTTTGGACGGTCTATGTTGGTGTTTTAGAAAGAACGGATGACGTGTGAGATATTAACATTGGTCGTTTCCGGACCTTGGAACACTTCCGGCTAACGTTACCCGATTATCTGCCCGTTATGCGGGTTTTTTTTTTTTTTTTGTGGTCGAGACAGTGTTTGTGTGAAAGTAGTGTACTGCGAATATGAGCGTTTTTATTAATAGAGTTACTAATAACGATAGGGTTCGTTTGCTTTTTAGCTGTATTGTATATGCGGTTAGCTTCCAAGTGTTGTTGTTGTGCAGTCAAATTTGACATGTTAGCGAGCTCTCAATAGGTAATTCTGAGGTAAATCCGAATTACAACTCGGCGACTATGAATCTGATGTAATATACTAGATGTGTTATTCGTTTATTGTAGGATTCATTTAGCATTATGTTTGCATCTTAGAAGCTCTTATAGTGGCCATTTTATTACACACTGACAGCTCAAATTCAAAGGCTGGTCCTTATCAAAATGGCTGCCTTGGAATTGCTAGTCTTATTTCCAGTCTGATGCTTCATGGAAGATAATATCGTAAACATTGTACAGTAAATGCCGACATGAATAATTAACATTTTCTATCTCTTCTCTTTCTATGTGTGTCACCAGACATTCGAGGCAACAGTTAACTTTATTTTACAAAGGTGAAATTTAACCTGTATGGAAGGATGCTATATATATATATATATATATATATATATATATATATAGAGGGAGAGAGAGGCATATTTTTTATGATAGTAAAATATATGTAAACATCATTTGGGTAATGCTTGATTTAAAATTCAATGTAGAGAGAATTCAAACATTCATTCTGCTTCTGTGCTTAAATATTTCAAGACATGATCTCATTATTCCCAGCGTTTCAGTCTTCATTGTCCTGATTTGCTTGCCTGCAACCAATGCACATCCCATTGTAGGCTACCAACCTTTTAAAATGCTTCAGGGCTTTATTTGCACATACAATTTTTGTTATTTTCGACAGTAATATGCCTTGTTAATAAATTCCATAAACATTTTCATAATTATGGCTTGTGGATACAAAACAGACATTGCTACAGACTTTTTATGACAAAGAAAATACTAAATCGATTAAACTGCTCTAATTGTCCCTGAAAGAAACTTTAAAAAGTTGAAATTTCACTTAATAACAAAAAGAAGACATTCGGTTACATACATACAACATACATCCTATGACATCATTTATAAACCCATTGTGATGTCTCTGCAACAAGCAATGGCATTTGCAGGCTTAGAACAATTACTATGTGACATCACACTGAGAGATTTTCGAAGGCACTCCTCATCATTAGGAATGCATGAATAATTGTCAAACAATGAGTGGCTTTAAAGTTTGTGCTTCTATTTTCTACTCATAATTTCAAAAGAATTTCATGAGAAAGATATCTAAAACAAGTTAACATCCACAGAGGAAAAAAATCACCATCATAATTATAATATAACCATAACAACAAGAAGAAATTTCACCAATAACCATAATATTAACTGTCATAGTAATGACAATAACAAACACCAATGTATTACAGAGCTGTTAGGAAGATTGTCTTTAAGTTGTATTCATAATTCTTTAAGATACACACTAGTTCCTGTGAAAAGTTAAATGAATGTGTTACCACCAATCCTCCTGATGCTGATGTGAGATAAACTACTCCTTAACACTTTTACTGGGAGGCATATATATTCAAATAGTCTGTAACTTATAACGTTCAATTTCATTACACTGAAAATTAACCAAGAGGTAAAAAGTCTATGACAAAAAATGACCAGTTGTTGGTTTTACAATGTAAATTCATAGTTTTCATTGGTAAAATGAGTTCCTGACACCTGCGCTATTTCTCAGAGACCAGAACCATGCAGAATCCTCCTGATGCTGATGTGATATAAACTACTCCTTAACACTTTTACTGGGAGGCATATATATTCAAATAGTCCGTAACTTATAACGTTCAATTTCATTACACTGAAAATTAACCAAGAGGTAAAAAGTCTATGACAAAAAATGACCAGTTGTTGGTTTTACAATGTAAATTCATAGTTTTCATTGGTAAAATGAGTTCCTGACACCTGCGCTATTTCTCAGAGACCAGAACCATGCAATAAATGATATCTGGCTTGTTTGCGAACAATCTCACATTTACATTTTTCATAGTAATATTTACTTACTACATTAATATCTTTTTGTAAATGAGATTATCATCACTGAATAATGAGTAAGCTGTGGGTAACATCTGTACCACTAACGCATGTGTGTTGTATAGCCCTTAATATTGATAAGCGTTATTGGTTATAAAGATATCAGGTATGACTTCTTGTGTTCATATCTCGGTAACAATAGATTCAAAACACAGGTTAGCTGTTTTGGCATGCCTGTATCCTCAGACTGTTCATAGAGTCTCAGTTTTAACAGCATATACACATGGCTTCAACATGGAGATTCAAAAAGCAGTCCAGGAGGTTCGTCTTTATGCAAATGTCAACCCACACCTGAGTGAGAGAATGATACTGCCATGTTACACGCTAATGTTATGCCAGAATACCATAACATATACTGTACGTATATTGATGAGTGCCCTTACTCTTGAGTTGTTTTCTTCGTCTCAGATCCATATTTAATAGCTTAAGGTGAACCTTTTGTCTACACAGTATACCTAAGAGGAGCATTGATGGGTAAGTACCCAGCGTTACAGGAATCTAATGTATTATTCTTGTGCTTTTGGTAGTCCAGCGTCCCTTATGGTGAATCTCTCTTACAAATCCCAGCACTTGGACATTGTAGAAAGTGGTGGCTCAGAATCCAAACAAAGTGTCATTGATCATTAATGAGTCTTTTTAAATGGAGAAAAAATATGATTGTCAGACATTTCTCTTGGTTTTCGTCTGGGCTTTTCTGCCCAATTGTGTCCCAGAATGGCTTTCATCGATAGTTCAAAGCGATCTCCAGTTATGTACTGAAGGGCAGACTTGAGAATTTAAAACTTGTGTACTATTTTCAGGATTCCAAAAAATAAATAAATAAAAACAAATTAAACAGAAACTCACTTGGTACCTCCATGTTAAATTCACACTGAATAAGATGCAGGCAAAACAATGGTAAGGTATGGTAAGGCTTGCTTTCTCTGTCTCGCAGTATTCAGAAGAGTTCATGAGACTCTTAAGAGTTTATGGATATGCTCCTCAAATTGTTCCACCTTCATTCATTTTGACATATGTTGTGAAAACCCTGCCACACTTCCTCATTATGCTGAAGTGGATTAGGGTTTAAAAAGAGATAAGATCCTGCATTACGTTTGTCCAGCTGTAAGTAGCTTTACAATTCATCAGTTGGGATAAGCGCTCAACTCATGTTCAACTGGTTCCTCTTATGCAGATGTTAATTATTATATTAGTCTCCCAGTAGTTCCATCATAGTTTTAAGATAAAAGCCGTTCTCTGAAATAAATGGCTCCATAGCAGCTATATCTGTAATGTATAACAATGTAAAATATCTGAGGATAAAAACATGACATAAATATATGAAAAATGCCTCAGTTCATCTGTCACATCATGTGGAATTTATATTACACTCTACTGATATTTCTATGCAGTAGGTTTATAGGCAAACTGTACACAAATAAATAGTTGTATATGGCAGCTTCGTTCATAATTATAGCGACAATTTCATGAACATAAAAAGCACGACAACTTTGAAGCTCTATCAAACCTGGCTTTAACTGTTATCTAATCTTATCTTGTGAATTTGCCACTATATACAATATATATCTGTAAAAATATGATGCCACTTCGCTCTGTCGAGTTTCTCCCACTTCGTGGCCCCCTACTTCAAAATCTGGTTCTCTTATTCCTTTACCATCCTCCTACTCCTTTTCTCTCTTCTCTCGTTATTTCTCTCCCTCTTCCGCCCACTCTCTCTCTCTCTCTCCCACAGTCCCTCTACCATCCTCCAGCTCTTCACACAGTCTATCCCTCACCCATCTTCTCCATTTCCTCTTTACCCTCTCCAGCCACTTGCTCACACAGTAACCTCATTCTTGCTTCCTGTTCTAACCCCTTGGTTGGATGCCACTCCTCCTCCACTTCCCCCTCCACCGGGGATGAAGTGAAGTTGTTCAATGGTATTTTGCCTTTTAGCTGCAAATGCAAGCCTCCTGGCACTGTGTCCACCAAGAGTTCCTGTTCCCATGACAACTCCGGTTCCTGGCATGTCGCCCCATCCCACTCCTCCAACCCCGCCTCCTCCCAGGTGACCTGACATCGCCGCCGAATTGCGCTCCTGCTCTCGCCCGGAGGTCGGGTGCGAGTTCATCTTGATCATGTGGTGACGATCGAGCGACGGTGTGGCACAAACATTCTGCTGCGATTGAGCTTTCTGGTGGCTAACGCGGGGCAGGGTGGGCACCATTCCACCTCCCCCTCCAGATGTGTAGTCGACCATTCCCATACCCATCCTGCTTCCGTCGTACTCAACCCCGTCTACCTCCTCCTCTAGGTGGTCTGGGGACATCAGCAGCCTCTCCTTGGACTTCTTCAGGGTGTTCGTATTGGAATTCTTTGATGAAGTGGCCATGGCTTTGTAGTACTGGTGCTGTTGGTTCTTCGACATCCTTGACAAGGTGTTGCCGTCACCGAGGGCGAGGAGCTGGTCCGTGGATTTGACGCGGCGTGGTGGTTTGGAAAGCGTATCGTAGTTGTGGTTTTGCTTCGACTCTGGTGGATCCAGAGGGTAAGGATTCGGGGTGTGGCTTGGAGCAGACTGTGGATGAGGTATTCGAGGACGAGTAGCACGGTTGGGAAGCGTGCCTCTTCCCCCCAGCGTGTAGTCGCCACCCCAGGGAAGGTGATGCTGGGAGGAATGAAAGGAGGGAGGGGCGTTGTTGGGCCTCCGTTTGGTGGTACAGTAACCTGAATATTCCTCCAATCCTCCTTTCTCTGTAGGTGGAGAAAAAATTGTTTGAAAAGATAAGAAAATTGGGTGAGAAAAGAATAAACCAATTAGGGATGCAGATATTAAAAATCTGACCACTATGAAAATTTTTTTTTTTTTTTTTTTTTTGAAAAATGCAATACATTTATAAAAGATCATTAATTTTTAATGGTATGGTGGTTAACCAACAAATGACCAAATCTAAATTCTGTTCAATACCAAGGAGTATTTATTTGTTTCTTTGTTTATCTATCTATCTATATGTCTGTCTATGGCCAATGAATAAAAATTAACGGTCGACATTACAACTCTATACAATCTGAACTAAATAAATTAACAATAAAACACTAAAACCAAAAACCAATAATTAAAGAAAGTGAATAAAACAGAAAATAAAAAAGTGAATTTAGGCATCCCATGTAATAGGATTAATCAGATTACATGTAAAGGTGTTATTAAATTATTTGTGTTTTTAAATATACCTTTAGGTGAGTAGCCTATTAGATGATAGCAAATGTTATCTAGATGGAAAATTTGCATATTGCTAACACCTTTTAATAAATAATCCCTAATATCAGGCAATAACCAATATGGTACCAATACTGTGCATATAATAAATACGGATGCACATCAAGCGTTGTGCTAAAAGCTAGAAATTCAATCAAACTTTCATCACAATTTACTAAACTCTTAATATAAATTCTTCATCCTCCAACTCTGGACTACATGTTTAACGCTTGATTTCATTACAGTTTTTCCTCAGTCGCTTTGGTGCATTTCTCGAATCATCCTTAATATTTGCAAAGAAGTGTATGCATTTCTCAAAACAATTCGTACAAACAGCACCACACGATATATTACCTGCAAAAGCCTGTAACTTACTCAAAATCTTTAGTTCATCTCTCAAAAGTAAGTATTTATGTCAATGAACATATCAGTGCCATCAGAATGAAAAGTCCTTGAGTCATTGTTCACAAACAAGATAGTCAAAATGCTTAGTCATGTTGTCAATATTACAGTGCACTCTGTTAGTATTACCTGATGTAAATTATGGCAACTGTTTGGAGGACTGTATGTGGTATATTGATTGAAAGAGACTGGATTCACAGTTACACTTTTACTATAGTGGTCTGACAAAAAAAAACATTACAACATCATTGTGATATAGAAAAGAAAAAAGAAATATGGGCACAAAGGCAGAAATACAAATTTAGACAGACAAACACAGGAAACACCCCTTAGGCAGAACTTTGTTTTTGCATGCAGCACTGTACGAGGAATTTCAGAGACCTAGTTATCATTGGTTGATCCAGATTCTCTTCATTAGTGAAAGTCAAGATTTACCTGCACAATTCATGGCAAATTTACAAAAAGACTAATAGAAATGTGTAGAAAATATGCGTGACAGTTTATGACAACTAGATCAACCATGTTGCATTTAATGACTTACACGATAAACTAATGACTAGATGTTCTGAGGGGTAAGACTATTGCACACAGAACTATATAATACATTTTGAGCAACATGACAACAGCTTGCACATAATCAATTGCATTAATGTACCAAAGCAATCGCAACTTGTTCAAAAGAATGAGAAACTGCTTTTATGATGTGCACAAGTGATTAGATGATGTGGAGGTTGAACAAGTAGTTTTGAGAATTTAATTTCGGATCTGAGAAATGCACCAAAACAACTGAGAAAAACTGTAATATAATGCTTGATTTCATTAATGCTTAACACTTTATTTCATTAATATAGCAATATTAATACAATCCTGTTTTATCCTCAACCCTGAGCCATTTCATCTTTTGGCTGATTAAGTCTCGAGTCATTGTATCAGCCTGTATAACCTTCGCCTGTGCAGAACTTTCTTGCCCTCCAACTGTAACTCACACTTCCCAGGAGGTTTGATGTCTAGCTGAGAGAGAGGCCTTAAGGCTGTATACGTCTGTACAAGATTGCGGGCGCTTTGCAATGGTTTGCCCTCATTAAAATCACCTTCACAAACATTATATCTCCCAAGCATTCCAGTGAAACACTAACACTGCTTTAAATAAAAACCCAAGCGTACAGATATTTTTACGCAACGCTCTAAGCTCAGCATGATACTCGTGTCCTCATCATCAAGCAGGTAATTTCTCCTTCAAAACACAACAGTACTAAATGTCACACTGTTTTTGATGTTCGTCCATCTATTTCTCCTTATTACTTATAAATTTGATTTATGCCTTTGAAATTATGTGGGCTATAATAAGAAAGCAATCAAGCCAACCTTTTATGTAATTCCTACAAAACATAATTTCCTCAAGATTAGAATCTTCCTCTCTACTGGTAATAAAGCACTCACCCAGACGCTTGAGAGATGAGTATCTGTTGATCTCAGGCTTCATGGCAGCTTCATATGAGGGCGGCAGCTGAGCCAGGTTATGTAGAGAGTGATGGAAGGACGGCTGGGGCTTCATGGCGTTGGTATGTTTACTGGGCTTCAATGTGCCACCGGTGGCCATCTGCATGTTGTTCATGCGTGGTGCACGCTCTTTAAACACACAGTGATGGACATTGAGGTCATTTCAAACTCAAACCAATTGTAGAGCTGTGGGCTTTACCTACCAATGGTGGCTGTATGTTTGGGACTGGAGCCTGTGGTGTGGATGAAGTTATGCTGTAGATTCCCCACTGTGAAACAGAACAAAGACATGTGCTTTAGAGATTTCTGCCTTCATGTCTTTGTGACAAATTACATTTAGTATGAATTCACAAAGTACATTTATCCATCTACTGTAAATGTTGCCCTATTAAGCTCTTTCTAGCTCCCCAATGTGTTGAAAATTTTACACCGTCTGTTCATTCCAATGCCATCATATACAGCTCTGTGCTAAATAATTCACAAATGCCCTTTCATCATTTGGCTATTGCTTTTTCCCTGTGTTCCTTCCTTGTCCTGAATTTATACAGTTGGCCGTTCACAAGGCTCAAGCTGAGATGGAAACATGAAAGGAACACTGTATGACATAATGCAATAATACCAGCCAACTGCAACCTGGTCCATGAGGATAACATTAGTTCACATTTAAAACATAACTTAATATTCATGAATATTTAACCCAGGACACTTTTTTTTAAGTTATAGCTGTTGACATGCAATTAATGGGATTTTTTTATCAGTCTTAATGGATTTTAATGGATTTTAATAATGGACATTTCATTTTATAGCTTATGGAAATTGAATATGGAAATAATGGACTTTTAATTTTCTTTTTGACCATATATATTAATAATAATAAATCTCAGTACATTTAGTGGATGGTTATGCTCTCATTAATCTTGACTTTTCATTTACACATTAACATTTGTGAGATTTATTCCATTTGAACAGGTTTGGGGTTTACATTTTTTGTCATTGGATTATAGTGACCTGAATTTAAGTTTCATATTAAAGCTATGTATTTTTGTTAATGGAGGATCTGTGGACGCACATTATAATTTGTATGATAACAAATATTAATTTTCATTTTTACTTTTAAAGAAAAAAGTTAAAGTGAGATGCCCCCCTCAGAAATGGGGCAGAAAGTCCCCAGTGACATGTTTCTGCTTCTGCAATAATATATATATTTTTAAATAATTATTATTAATTAACTTTTAATAATATCATAATTAAATAGTGTAGTATTGTATGTACATTTCAAATACCTTCATTATTCATTATAACATATAGGTTAATTCAACTGAATAATTCATGGATTTATGGAACTGAATTCATAGAATATTGCTATCACATCTTTTCAAATAATATGATTATATGATGTCTATATTTGATTAGAAGTGTATCTAGTGTAATTCAGATCTATCTCTTCAATAGGGATTCTGTTATCTGATTTGTATGTAATTATTAACTACTTTGAATGCATAAATGTACATAGAATATTTAATTTAGTATTTTTAACTTTTTCAACAACAAACAAATAAATACAAACTTTTTAAAAATAGCCCAAGGGAGGGGTTCATTTCACCCCAGGGGTGCAAGATTGTCCCCTTTCATGACTGTCAATTTCGTGCTACCAATTAATGTTTCTATTAATTTCTCTTAATAATAAATTATAATACATTTTATTAATGATATATTAAATAGTAATACGATCTTAAACATGCTAAATTCATCTTGCTAAATTAAATACACTGTTCTTAAGTTCACCCAAAAATGAAAATTAGCCCACGTTTTACTCAAGGCATCCTAGGTGTATATGTCTTTCTTCTTTCAGATGAAACCAGTCGGAGTTATATTAAAATTTTCCTGGCTCTTTCAAGCTTTATAATGGCAGTGGGCAGGTTTTTTTTTTCAACAGTCCAAAAGTAGTCAAAAAAAGTGCACTCATCCATATTAAAACGCGCATCACACGGCTCCGGGGGGTGAATAAAGGCCTCCTCTAGCAAGTCGATGCCTTTTTATAAGACAAATATCCATATTTAAAACTATATAAACACCTTTTTCTCACTTCTGCTAACTGTCTAGGCGGAAGCCGTTCCGGCAGATGACGTAGGACGTATGCGTAGTGTAAGCGCCGGTGATTAGTGACGAACTCGGAAGCATGACGGAGAGAGAACAAAACAAAATGCTGATCAAGAATTAGAAGCACAAATCAAGGATTTGTAAAGAAAAATGTCAGAGAATTTCGATATAAGCCAAGAGGAGACAGGTTTTCCTTTGGTAAAGTAAGGAAACTTTGCTTCCTTTGCTCCTGTAAACAAACGTTGGTTTTCGCGAGACTCACATGCGCATGTGCTGTGCCTACGTCATCCGTCGGAAAGGCAGTCTCTCATGAACGCACTTACAACAGTCATCGGAAGTTACACAAAACTGTTTATATCGTTTTAAATATGATATTTTCTTTCAAAAACGCATCGATTCGCTACAGGAGGCCCCCCCCCTCCCGGATCTGTGTGATGCATGTTTTAAAATGGATGGATGCGCTTTATTTGACTACTTTTGGACTGTTGAACAAAAACACCCACCCATGCCATTATAAAGCTTGAAAGAGCCAGGACAATTTTTTAAATAACTGCATTCGTCTGAAAGAAGAAAGTCATATAAACCTAGGATGCCTTGAGAGTGAGTAAAACATGGACTAATTTTCATTTTTGGGTGAACTAACCCTTTAAGGGGGGCATCTCCCCTATGTATGGAGATTATGGAGTTTTCCACTCACGTCGGTTATCTTTACTCTGTAGCGTTGGATAGTGATTTTTCGGGGGTCGTCCAAGAGTTCCCTCTCCTCCTCCAGTACCCAAGGCTACACTGTTGTTTCTCTCTCCCTCTTGAACTGGACTCGACTGGTGACGCAACATTTCCACAAGAGCCCTGACAGGGAAGGATGTAGGAACGATTAGTCAATAGAACACAATTTAAGGTAGATCAAACATCCTTTTTGATCAAGACTCATGAACTCTCACCTGGGCATGTCAAGTTCTCTGTTCCTAGGCTGCCGTGATGCCTTGTGGAATGCCACTTTAATGGCCACTGCCACTGCCACTGTAAACGAGATGACTCCGCCAATGACGTAGACCGTGTTGTTGCTTTGTTCGATGCGGCTGAGGTCTGGGTGGGCAGGCGGTGGGGGTCTGCTCGCAGGGGGGGCCGTATTGGCCCACACAGGGGAATGGTAGTTGTGGCAGATGTTCTGGTCCAGCCTTCGAGTACGGTCCGGACAACAAAACCGATAATGGCAGGTGCCGCAGCAGTAGATGAAGTCATCCTTGGAGCAGTTAAAGGTGAGGTCATACTGCCCCATGACATCATAATAACCCCGACACACGTCCACTTCCACCAGTTTGCGAGGAGGCGGAGCTACCTGCGCTGCTCCGAAAGGGGCCTTCAGTGCATCAGTCGTTACATTCTTTGGCAGCATTATCTGAGGCAGTGGCCTGAGGGGCATTTCTGCCACTCCAGCTGGCTGCTTTGGCCGACGATTCATGGACTTCCCTCGCATACCCCCACCATTTTTAGAAAGGGGGTACAGAAAGCCCCTACCCTGAGATCTGGGGTTGAGCGTCGGGGTTATGGTGATAGGCCCATTTAGTGTGTTTCTGGTGGGGCCCGGGACGCTCGCAGAGGAAACGTTAAGTGGGACAGCGATTAGCAGGAAGAGAATGATGACACGCATTCGAGCTTCCAAGGTGGGCATCATCTTTACATGACTAACGCTGCTATTTTCTCTCGCTGACTCAACCCACCGCACTATGCCGAATTTTGTAAAAACAGCCTGATTGCGCTGTATGTAAAATATCCTTGTAGCAGCCCTCCGACGTATGAAATCTGAGTCTATATCAAAACAGTCTCGAAAGAAAAATCTGTTCTCAAAGTCTGTTAAAGTGTGTGCTGTGAACGGTCACACTCCGAGACGGCGTGAGAGAAAAATAACTATTTTGATGTGCTTTCAGCTTCAAGGTGAGTTACACAACACATATTCTCTCATCATGCGGCGCTTCCGTCCAACATATAGCTGGAAAACCTGAACAATATGTGAAACAATTCAAACGCTGACAATATTCTGTGCAGGCAACATACAGTTGGCTAGTTCATGTATAAACAGGAAATGAAAGACTATTTAACAAATTGTCAGTTTTGAATGTATTAACAAGGCAAATATTCCCTTTTGTGGCTTTCTTCAAAAACACATTTCCACAGACAAACAAAATGGCTTCTCGTTACTGTCCTTCTATTACTTTAGTAGCTAGTGTTTTCATGACACATGAAGGCAATTATGTTGTAGTACAACTGTGTACATTAAAAGTATTTAGGTTTAATTCCCCATTTTGGCACTTATCAGAATTAAATATTCATTTAAGAGAAAGGGGCAACTGTAAACATCTTTAAAATGTAAACTAATGTTTTGCTTCTCGCCACAATTTTTTTATTGTATTTTATTTTTTTATTTGGACACTCCTTACATTCAGCAATGGCACTTAGTCTTTAAGCAGATTTCCCTGACCTGTAATGCTCCCTGAATGTTTACTATTATTAACAAGTATAAACAATTTCCATACACTTGGTGAAAAAAAATAAATAATAATAACCTCAGAAATTAATCTTGTTCTACTGCACTTGTTTATGTGTTAACAGAACTACTCCGAATGTTGAACTCTCTGTAATGCTCCCTGAATGTTTACTATTATTAACAAGTATAAACAATTTCCATACACTTGGTGAAAAAAAAATAATAATAATAACCTCAGAAATTAATCTTGTTCTACTGCACTTGTTTATGTGTTAACAGAACTACTCCGAATGTTGAACTCTTTTGACGGTTTGAGGGCAGTATGGTGAGGAATCATTTTGATTTTGTTCAGTATTTCATTCATGGCCTATACATTACAGAACTAAACTGAATGTGTGTTTCCTCATTCAGCATGTGAAGAATTACCAAATGGATAATCCTGCGTGCAAATTTAAAATAGTTCAAAGAGATCAGATATGAATAGAGTCATCTGTCATGTTGGATATAAAATGTACGCCCTATCTACACCTATTTTAGGTGTGTATTGAGAATGTATAATAAACCGTTGACACAGACACACAAAAAACGATGATGGTGGCAGAAAAGACGTAAAACGTTTTCAAGGCTGATTGTCTTCACAATTTCCAAGGAGAGTGACTACGTGTAAACCTTGCAGTCGCTCTCCAGTTTCTTAAGGTTCACGCAGCAGATTTGCTTTTAAGATAAGCCCAGTTTTCATTGAGACCGAGAAACGTTTGAAACGGTTTGCTGAAGCTGTTGGTGAAATGGTTTAAAATCCCATGGTGTGGACATGGCTGTTTCCTCACTATTTTTGCAGGGTTGATCTGGGAATCCACTGGCGGTTATGAAGTGTTCAGCTATCAAGCGATGTGCCTCTGAAAAGAAATCAACACATTGATGTTACATCCTACATGTGCACAAGCACACACACACAGACATCTGTGAAAGTTTTTGAAAGATCATAGTTAGCTTGTCATCTGCATGGCAGCCTATTATTTTCATTGTGACACGTATGGCATGTGACAGGCAAATAAGGTATGCAGCAACTTATGTGATCAATATAGAATCCACAGAATTCAACACAAAAGAGTTTTTTTATGGGGTTGAACTGTATGTCTATACACATTATCTACAATAAAAAAAATTGGTTTATTCAAGGAGACCATGCATTAACTAGCCAGCGCTTGTTCATAAGAAATATTAGTGAATGCAGACATTAAATACACATATCTGCAAATAAGCAAACATTCATTTTTTTAAAGAAATTGCTGCACACAATCAAAATATTAAACTTTTAATATCAAAGTTACTGAGAAGTGTGTGAAACATGTAAACAACCGCAAAATATGACAATGAAATGACTCTTGAACATTAACATGAACTCTTAAACAACTTGCCCATTAACTGATTATTTGATCAAATAAGCATTGTATAGTCGTGTATATGATTTCTATTTGCAATAAACTATAAGCAAAACTCATCATTACAATAGCTAACTTTCTTTTGCCCTATCAGTAAAACCGACATGCATGCTCTGATAATCGTATTAGTTATGATTCTTCAAATATTTTAAAAAACATAATAGAAAGTCTGAAATTGTATATTCCTGGATGTAAAAATATGTATTATCTTTATCTCTACGCGTTTGCTTTGAATTTTTCCTTTTGTCTATTTTTTTTTTTATTTGTGTAATGTTGTTTCTGCAAAGACGATAGATAGATAGATATTTCAAAACCACTGCAAACTGATCAGTCCAGATTCATGAATGAATCTTTCCTTGCAATTTGTGAACCAGTTCAAAAGGTCCTTTGGAAAAAAAAAAAAAAACAGAAAGAAAAAAAAAAATGAATCGCCACAGAATAATGATTTTTCACGAATCGGACCTCATTACCATGTTTCAGAGCACAAGCAATTTCTTGAAATACATTGTTGAAATAACGATGAACAGCGTGTTTTCTGCAGTGTGGTGAAGTAAAATGTAAGATATTATGCACTGAAATATAGTGAAGTAAATATTAAGTACTGATACTTGAAAAACACTTAACTACAGTAACAGCAATATTCTGTGAATAAATATACAGTACATTTAGCATTTATACATTGATTTAATATTTACATTTAGATTTAAGCAAGATGGATTACATTTAATATTTATCCTTTAAATCTGTCCTTAACCCTAAATCTAACATTTATACTAAGTGCGTGCAGTACAGCTGCAGATTCCAGCTCATGACGCTGAAAAGAAGGGCTGATGTGATGACCGTTTGTCTAATGTGTTACAACAAGTCACTATGAATCAGAAGCATTGAGAGAAGTGAATAGTAGCAATGATCTGAACAAATAGTGATCAGTCCTTTTCAGAGAGCATAGCATGATGCGTGACACGAAGTAGGGGGTAAAGCAAGAGAGAGATGCTGCTTTCCTGACACTGACTCTTTCACTTCCTCACAAACATTCTGACACATAGACCTACAGTGTTGTGCTAAAGTTATTCTGTAATCAATACCTATATGCTTTATTTTTCACAACTGTAGGGGCCTGTGGAAAACCGTCGAGCACATAAAAGAAGGTTGGGTAAAGTACAAAAGAAAAGCGAGATAAATGCAGGGTTGAGATTTAAATATGAGCACAGCATAGCAGAAGTGCACAGAGCCAGAGGTATGACGGAGAGGTGCTTTGTGTGTTTGTGTGTGTGTATGTGGGAGTGCGGTGTGTGGGTGGAAGAGAATGGAGAGCATTCAGTGACAACACTTACTAACACACATACGCACACACACACACACACACAGTGTACACAATACACAACACCGGGAACATACAGTGCTAACACCAAACGTAGAGACTGCAACACATGCAGATAGTATGCTGGCTCACAAACTGCACTTTTTACAGGTATAAAAAATGCGTATAGTCCTCCGAAAGAGTGAGTATACAAAATCTGTCATCGCAGATCAACAAGTTAATGCCATAAGAGACAACAAAACAGCACGTCTTTGATGTAATGAGGCACAGATACCACTAAGGAAAACTGCACAGAAAGGAGCCACACAAAAATCTGCAGGAAATACAGCATTGGCCAGGCAAATAATACTTGTGTCACTGCTGCAGGCTGCGCTCTCATCTGAGGTATAGCGGCTATACAGCACATCTACAGTGGCGTCGTGGCATCAAGCTGGTTCTGTACGTCAGCTAAAGGAGTCAACTATGGAATATTGACTGATTTTAGAAATTAAAAAATATATACTTTTAAATACTTCGGGATAGAAATACAAAGAAAATACAGAAAGTACACAGGCTCAAATTCACAAAAATAAAAAATAAATTGTTTTTAATAATTTAAATGCTAAAGAAATATAAAAATATGGGCTAATTATTCTTTGAAGTATTTTGAAAGTCATGAACATAACATGAAATCCATACATTTGTGTACAAGCAGTGTTAAGACACACTGTAAAAAGTATTTTTAAAGTTGTAAATAAAGCATTATTTATTTGAGTATGTTTTACAAGAAAATACTACAAAAAAAATGCAGGTATAATTTCAAAACACAATACACAGAAAATATTGGTAGGCTCAAATTGACAAAAGTATGAAAAAGAAAAACTATTAAATTATTTCAATGTAACGTAAAAATATTAGCTAAACGTTCTCTGAAATATTTTTTAAAGTAATGCACATAACATTAACACCATAAATCTGGGAACAAGCACTGCTTGTATTCAAGTTCAAGCAAATAATGTATACAATTATATTATATACACTATAAATGTTTTTTTGAAGTTGTAAATAAAACGATGATTATTTGTTTTAAAAGAATATACAATTAATATTATATATTGATTCAATAATGTATACAATTATATATTTTTCTACTTCAAAATTTCACATTTAATTCAATGTGTTACTTGCCATTTCTTTGTACTTGTTTATTAAATTTATAGGCAGTTTCTGAGAGAAAACTGTTTTTCAGTGTATAATATTATAAGATGCAATAAAGATGTGGCAAATGTTTAAAATTGCCATGACTGAATTTGATTATATATTCCACAATAAAAGTAATGATTGAAATATACAAAATTTGGTATATTACAAAATAATTATTTGAATCCTCAGACTGTATTCACTTATGTAATGCTGGGAACTTGATGAATGCTGCAAAACGACTTCAACACTGCTGCCAATAACGCTTTCATAATTAGCAGAACATAACCTGCTTGTGGTTTTGCCCCCATTTTGTGCATAATTAATATGGAAGCATTAAATAGCCAAAGTGCTTTTAGAAAGGACTTTGCATTGACAGATGTAATTACGGATTTTGCACATACAACGCAACAAGCGACCAACGTGGGCAGAATGTTTTTCCTTTTTTCACCATTGTATTTTGCGCACACCTGTGAGAAGTTCGGCTGCAAGCACTAAGCAGCAAGAGAAGACATTTTAGTCACGGAACTCTGATCTGAACAGGTGTGGCGTTGAGTGATTCATGTGGGCCATTTACAGTTTTCACAGGAGCAAGCCTAAGAACAGCCCATAACATTAAAAACAGTAACCTCTCATTCGCATCTCTATAATAAAGCGTAGGCCATTTCGACACCTTCTCGTCTATGTGAAACAGTATGCGCCTCTACAAACTGGATTAGCTTTTCCTGAACACGGCACCCAATCAGCAAGGCACTGTGGGCGACTTCTAAGAGATGTGACACTGAAGATGTGGCGCATTCACAAACAGTTTCTAGAACGTGAGTTCACAGAGGAATCACGGACGATTCATCCGCTTCTAATCTGATTTTAGGAAATTGTGCTATTCTCCTATTTCATTGTATT